AAGCTCCCCATTGGCTTTGAAGTCCACATCAATGGAAAACTTAAGAGAAAGGTCTTCAACATCCCTTAGTGATTCACTCATAGGTTCTTCAAGAGTTGGCTTCATGACCTTAAGACGATTGGCAGGGTGGCGATTTCTGCAGTGTTGAACATGGGAGAGGTAATTCCGGCAGTGCTCTGGCCATGAGAAACGGTGGATATTCTTTAGGCCATTTTTACGGCACTCCAGCCATAGGTTCTTGTCAGCAACAAGCTTTAGAAGAGCGTCTGCTATGGCTTTTTGATCATGTGGATCAATGAGTAGCCCATTGTTTAGTGCCTGAATGAGCATCAAGTTCCATATTATATCCATCCATAAATTGCTACAGGTCACCATTTTGAGGTGTACGTGGAATTAAAAAGATAACTATTTGGAGAAAGAGGAGAAGTTTCCAACAGAAAGCTTGGGGCTTCATTTTTCAGAAATTCCTTCAGGTCAAGTGTTACACGAGGTATTTGTTATCAAGATTTTGTGCATTACCTTTATAATTCTACCCCAACTTTTATTCTGCAAATTTTAGGTTCCAATGAATAACTTCATATCTAAATATGTATTCAAAACTTGTGCATCAACATCAATAGCAGTTAGTGAGTACCTTAAGTATATCCACCGGCCCTCCATTTTTGGTAGCAACTATAGGCAAACCATAAGCAGCTGCCTGCAGAAAAAAGATTTTCCAGAGCTATAACATTTTCATACAAAGCCTCAGTTGTCAAAACTAAATGTGATATAAGTTACAAGTTACCTCAATAAGAGTGAGGCCGAATGGCTCAACAAGAGCCGGATTGATGAATACTCCCTTCAAGAAAAAATCACCATTTAAGAGTTGTTGGCAGTCATATCATATCATGGAACTGAAGAACTTAGGTTAAAGAAGAGTGTCAATTATATAGTTCATGTTCTGTCGAAGTATGGAAGAAACAAACAGAACAGTGATCACTAAAATAGCTCTATCCTGTCTTGATTATTCTCCTGCACACACAGATGGGCTTGTCTATTATGAACGAGGCGTTGACAATGACTTTAAACCCATAAGACCTATATTGTTCTGTTCTTGGTGGGAAACTCCCCTTGTCGAGTCACTTGCTTATATATTTATTGCTCTGAGTTACCTTAGTTTTTGCAGCCAGACGATATATATCAGGAACATCTGGAAGTCATATCATATCATGGAATTGAAGAACTTAGGTTAAAGAAGAGTGTCAATTATATAGTTCATGTGCTGTCGAAGTATGGAAGAAACAAACAGAACAGTGATCACTAAAATAGCTCTATCCTGCCTTGATTATTCTCCTGCACAGACAGATGGGCTTGTCTATTATGAACAAGGCGTTGACAATGACTTTAAACCCATAAGACCTATATTGTTCTGTTCTTGGTGAGAAACTACCCATGTCGAGTCACTTGCTTATATATTTATTGCTCTGAGTTACCTTAGTTTTTGCAGCCAGACGATATATATCAGGAACATCTGGTTGCTTATGATGCTTTGGATATGCCACCTGACCGTACAAATTGTACTTGTCAATGAGCTTTATTACTGTTGTGAGTACTGCAGAGCTGCTACTGGACATGTCATCAATGTCATCTCTGTTACCTAGGATCAGTGTCTGCACCACAATTTACAATTAAATTAGACTCTGCCTAGTCCACTAGCATCTGTTACAGTTAAAGGAGGTTGCAGATAAACTCAGCCCTACCAAGTTGGCTAGTTCTCGAAGTGCTTGACATTCTCCGAAAGCCCTGAGCAAAGTAGTTACATTCTTCTTAGGATCTGGACGTGACAGTGCAAGTATCATAGGCTTGTGAGGGTTAACGAAGAATCGCATGATCTGCATTCATAAAAATACAGGAGATGTTAGCTGAAAGCGTTTATAGACAACCCCAGACAGACAAAACTTACAATTATTTCAACCTAGTCTACATTCTTGTTGCTTCTGTCTTGTTATCCATTTTGACACATTTGCAAATTTTATGGTGTTGGGTTCAAGAAAGAGTTTTGCAAATTTGCTAGGTAAACAAAGAAGAATGTCCAACCTCAGACCATATATATGGTATAGGTCTCTTTTGACTTTTGTCTGTACCAATTAATGACTTGAGATCTCCATCACCTTCCAACAAATCTTGCGCGTTCACGTTGCTGAAATCCATCCCTGGTGGTATAACCTAGTTTTTCAAGATGATCAGAACTTGGTAAGAAATATCTTCTGAACTGGGTAAGAAATCATTAATTTTGGCTTGTTTGAGTTAGTGCATACCACCATCCTGGGCATGTATCTTCCGAGGCAACTGACTCCTCTCCGTCTCCTAACTCTGAGTTTCCTCTCCAACTGAATATCAAAACCATCATACAAACCCCATTGTTCATCAATCTCTTGCTTTGTGCTAGTTACCACCATTTCAGCGGCATCAAGTCCCAACTCTTCTCCTTCTATTCTCCTCAGTATCTTATAGGTGGTATTTATGTCTTCCTTAGTTAGTCTGCCCTGTTTAAGCAATTGCTCGAACTTGTTCCTTCCTAACGAGTGCCCCGTTAGCACCATTGGTACATTTAAGGTTCCAGACAAGCGAGCTGCTACCTCTCCTGCATCAGCATAATGCCCATGAATCACATAAGGCCATACTGCTTTTCCAGCATTGACTTGCTCCCCCATAGCTCTTGCCATATTCACAATGTGGCTTAATGCCCCATCAACAAATTCTGGTATGTAAGGCCAGAGTGATTCTTTTGGAATGTACCTGGCACAAAGATAATGTTCAAAATAGGAAAGACTGAACCAGATAGCTGCCAAGCATGATAAGCCATTAAAGAATGAACACATCTGCTAAAAGATGTGCTCAAGTGTAGAATAGCAGCATTACTTATCACGTGGTCCGCAGGGGATTCGAACTATGTAGGCACCACAGCTTCCAAAAGCATCAGATGGGCATGAGAGCATCTCAATTGGCTCACCATAGCTAGAGTCAACCTCTGGAGATGTGATCTGTCGAGTCAGGAGGTCAACTCGATGAACTCCTTCCATGTTTGCAAGTGCTCGAGCAAGTTCTACTACATACTTCACCTGATCATTCATTCAATAAAACACAAATTGCATGAAATTTCTTGAGTTTTACTTCTCATACAGTAAAACCTCTGTTACTGAGGAATCAACTACAAAGGAGTTTTTTGGGTTGTCAATTAGGTATCATGTGTCCAGTCTTTTTACTAGCTCGTAATGTCACTTTTCTGCCATTATGGATTATATTTTTAAACTGTCTTCCTGTGTGATCAAATTGGACATGTTTTCCTGATTAGAGACAATAGTTGTATTGATTAAAGTGGTTAAAACAATCTACCTGACCACCAGTGTCAGAATCTCGTCCGAGTTCCATGTTTTCTCCACGCACCAACCCATGGATACTACAAAAACAGTAAACATAGCATTAAAATTGATTGACTTGTTTTTAATCTTGTATTTGTCATATTACATTTCTTCTTTTTCTTGCTCTTGATGTGTTTTTGAATTATGCATTTGTAACAATTTTTTATAACAATCTGAATTTACCTGATCAAGACAATGTAAAGTTGCCTTGGTTTATCTTCATCAGGCCACATCTGAGTAACTGAATTAATCCTTGATATGACATGGTGAGAATCTGATGTATTTACATTATCTGTTTTCTCCTTCTCACCTTCTGAAAGTTCAGAAAGATCATCTAATGCGTCAAAACGACCTTTCTCTAGTTCAAGTCTCCGTATTACTAGCTTTTGGGCATCATCCCACGCTATCTGCAATTTCCCACAGATTATCTTCAATAATAGTTTACATAGTTCTCTTTTAAGCTTATTTCATCTGTATTAATTGAACAATAAAACTTTATTTAGTGGAATTCTGTTGACTTCAGACGTGTTTGTTTTAGTTTTTCAAACATTTTGCAAATATGAGCAAGTAGGGGAATTCCATGTTACAACGTGAGACTCTTTCTTCCTTGACATTTAGCACTTTCTCCTTTAAAATACTAGAATAAACAGAAGATGGCCGAATATTAATGGGAAATAAAAGAAGAGGTGGAGAAGAAAAAGACCTGTTTCTTCTTGCGGGCAAGATGCCAAATGCGCCAGCACATATTCTCGAGCCTGTTATTCCTCTCACGAGAATTCCTTGTTGCCACTACCTGCATGTCCATTCGCTTCACTTTCAACCTCACCTTTTGCTTTTCTTTCCATCAATTTCCCTAAGCATAACATCTATCCTTTTCTTTTTTTTTTTCTTGCATAACATGACTCAGTTACGGGTTCATCAAAACCCAATTAACTTGAACTCTGTATATGTGTTTAAAAAGTTTATTAGAAAGTACAATTAAATGATTTTGAATCCTAATAATCACATGAGTTGGGATTGAATTCCGAAATTCAACCCATAAACTTTAAATCCTAAATTCCCCTCTGAACACAACTTCTTGTTGGATAAACAGGTTTTTGTGATATATTCCGTTTCAAGTCTCTGGAATATCTTTCTCATGCAATTGAATAGAGAAGAGAGCGTGTACGCATGTCACGTCTTTCTTTTTCCTTTTTTGGGTCAAAGTACACTAAGTTTTACAGTGTTAATATATATATAATTTACACTCCTCCATTAAAAAAAAGGAAGATAAAAATTTCACAAACCCGTGAAAGGAGAGCGTTTCTTAGTCAACTATGTAGCAAGTGGTATTCATGCTTGTGGCCATTTGTATTTAGTCAAAATTCCGATATGCATGTGAGAGCAGCATTAATGGTAATTAAATGATTAATACTTAAACCATCTTTAATTAATTTCTCATCTCCTTCCTCCCAGCTTACTAAATCATGAGGTAGAAAATCATTTCACTTGTAGTACTGTTGCATTAGCCTAGATTAAGTTAGGGAACTAACCTTGATCCAAGCCTTGTGGAGATCAGACTCATCAAAGCTATTGACAACTTCTTCAACAAAGTAGGTAGTGGGACTAAACAGCTTCTCTGCCTTCTCTTTCTGGATTTCAAACTTCTCAAACCTCAACGTTTCCTCTATTTTATTATTATTATTCCTCACACTAGTATTCTTAAAGCTGCTTTTGTCTTCAATACTTGCAGCTCTACGTTCTTTCTTTGTCGACCCATTTCTATCAGTCCCCGCGTCCAATATTGCCTCCAAATACCCGTTTAACCATTCATTCTCCGCCATCTCTTTCCTTTCCTTCCCCGTTTCGCTGATTGTTTGCTTCAAGTATATATATGCAAGAACTTGAAAAGAGGTATTACTGCTTGAAAAACAAGAAGTAATATATATTTTTCTTTAAATATACAGATAGACCAATTGAGTTGTGGAGTTAAAAGCTTGGAAATGAGATGCTTCTATAAAGAGCAAGAGGGGGAAGAATATAATAGAGGTGGTTTCAGGGACTTAGTTGTTTGAAACCGAGTTAGAAGAGAAGAAAGGGAAGCCCTTATATAAGGCCTAGCAATGAGCATATTGTGTAGTACTAATATATAGTAGTATATATTATGGACCACACTTTTTCACTTCAAACAAAATATGTTGTGACAGTTTAGTTTTTAGTTCTCTTTCTTACCTCAACTTTGTGTGGTTTACGCGTTTACATGCCAAATATCCTTATTCTCGTAGTATAATTAGTTAGGAGTAGTATATTATTTATTCTTCACAAGAACCCATTGCAGGCACGGGCTGATTGCGGTGGTTCCTCCTTTCGTTCTTCACTTTTTTTGTCAAAAGCACAACCATTTTCCAGATTGCTCATCCTACAAATTTGTAACGACCCGATAGATCATTTTGAGTACTAGCTTTTGTTTTCGTGTTTTGACACTTCTATTAGCTCCATTTTATTTTCTTGATTTGCATGTGTGGTCCATTTCTATTTCTGAAAAGTTTTTACGTAAAAATTTGAAGAAAAAGTGATTTTAAGCTTAAAATGGAACTTGAGTTGACCACTGTCAATATTCTTGATAAAACGACCTCGGATTGGTGTTTTGACGATTCCGGTTGGTTCGTATGATGTTTTTGGACTTGTACGCATTTTTGGTTGAGGTCCGGGGTGACCCGAGCGCATTTCGGCGCGTCATGTGAAAAATTGTGAAAATGAGTTTTCAAGTTGAAAATCATGAGTTTTGATGATTGATTCATGTTATTTGATGTTCTTTTGATGATTTGAGGTAGCAAGCAAGTTTGTAGGATGTTATTACACTTGTGTGCATGTTTGGTTTGGAGCTCGAGGGGCTCGGGTGAATTTTGGATGCGTTACAGAGCGATTGGGCAACTGATGGTGCATTCTAGTTGCTAGTGTCTGTTGTAGATCTCGCAATTGCGAGGTCAGGCTTGCATTTGCGAGCCTCGCTTTAGCAGTCTCACGATCGCATTTGCAAATATATGTTCACTTTTGCGATGGGGTATGTGGTCGCTTTTGCGATCTTTGGGTCACATTTGCGATACCTTGCTGAGTAGGGGAAGCTTCGCCATTGCGAAGCTTGGCACGCATTTGCAAGGGGGGATGTTCTTCGCAAGTGCGAGGTTTTTATCGCATTTGCGACTTATGCATGATGGGGGCACAATTCACATTTGTAACATGTGTTTCGCATTTGTGATGGTCACAATTACGAACTAGAGTTTGCAATTGCGATACTTGTAACCGAGTAAAAGAGTGGGAAAAAAGGGACTTAGCTCATTTTATACCATTTCTCAACCCCAAATACTCTAGAGGCGATTTTTGAAGAGTTCTTTCTTCTCAAATTCATTGATAAACAAATCTAGTCTACTTTTTTTCAATTTCACATTACTTTTCATGAGTTCTTAACATTAAATCTAGGATTTTCATGGTAGAAATTGGGAATTTGGGTAGAATTTAGGGATTTTGTAAAATTAAGGTCAAATTTCGAAACAAATTACATAACCGGGATCTGGGGGTAAATGGGTAATCGAATTTTAGTCTGGATCTTAGATATTGACCAAGCGGGCCCGGGGTTAACTTTTTTCAATTTCATCAAAGATTGAACCTTTTTCATATTTTGAATTGTTTGAACGATATTTGGCTAGATTTGGTTGGTTTGGAGGCTTGTTCGAAAGGAAAAGTCATGGTTGATTGTTGATTTGGTTGCGCAAAGAGGTAAGTATCGTGTCTAACTTGAGGGAATTAGGACTTGTTGGTCTATTTGTTATGTGAATTATGTGAAAAAACTGTGTATATGTGAGGTGACGAGTGTATATACGTTGTCATGAGTTAAAGCATGCGGTATTGGTTTGTTTACCTTTATATCATTTTTTATTTCATGTTATCTCTTGTCATATGCTATGATTGCTACATGATCTTATTTGTTAACCATGCTTTATTTGTTACATCTACTAATATTGATTTATTCATTTCTCGTTCAATATCTACTTATCTGTTATATGTTCATGCCTATATTAATTGTATAACTTCACTACTTCATGTTTAACCTGCTTTTCGTGGCTTTATATTACTTATTTCACTTTACTAGGTTATTGTGATTTCTGTGAGTTCTTTAGCTATTCTTATATAGGTGATTTGTAGAGAATTATAAATACGAGTTATCGGTTACCCTCGTTGTACTGTTAGTTTATTGATGTTTTATATGTTTTATTTTCCTTTGCGTTGAGATTTTCGTTATTGGTTGTGTTGAGCTATTTATGTCAATGAGTTGATATTGTGATCGCACGCTGCAACAATTATTGTGTTAAATGTTGGGATCGGGTTACATGTCACAACAATTATTGTGTTAAGCATTTAGGATCGGGTTGTACGCCGCAACAGAGTTGATATGCTATGGTTGTTTGTAGTTGTGGAGTTTTATCTCGGTAATTGTGATATGAGATTTGAGATTATGTTATTCTAGGGGCTGGTAGTTGACCTTCGGGTCCGTTTATACGAGTTTTCCGTTTTATTTATATTTTCGTATTCTGTTGTTATTATTTGTACATGTTTATAGTAAGTGTCTTGTCATAACCTCGTCACTACTTCATCGAGGTTAGGTTCGACACTTATAGAGTACATGGGATCGGTTATACTCATGCTATACTTCTGCACTTCATGTGCAGATCCCGGTATTGGCCCCAACGGCGCGTAGAGGAGATTTTCCCGGATCGACTTGCTGAGGAGACTTGATGTAGAGCTGCTGGCGTTCGCAGTCCCTGAAGTCCCCTTTCTGTTATGTCTTTACTGTTTATTTTATTTCAAACAATTGTATTTCATTCAAGCCATACTTTGTAGTATTCTAGTTGCTCATGTATCGGTGACACCGGATATCTGGGATTAGCTAGACCGTGTAATATTGTGGATTTATCTTATGTACTTCAGTTTTGCCAATTGTTAAATATTATTATTATTTTGTTTTAAATTGTAAAAATAGTTAATTGATTATCTAATGTTGGCTTGGCTAGCAAGTAGATGTTAGGCGTCATCACGGCTCCATGGTTGGGATTTCGGGTGGTAACAAAGTTCTTAACAAAATTACAAGTTGTTCCGGAAAGACTATATTGACTAGTTAGAATTTTGTATTTCGACCGTTGTTGTACGTGGTTAAGAATATAGATATACATAGGTCGGGTTGGTTTGAATTTTTTAATTACCAAACCAAATCAATGGTGTCGGGTTTTTCAATCTTTTTTCATTTTTTCGGGTTTTTGAGTTTTTCCCGATAAAGTCTTCATAGCACAAAATATGTAACTTGTGCTCCAATTTTCTTTAGTCCTAGTAGGATATCACTATATAATGTATTTTTCAATAAAATAACAACAATAATATGAGATGAGTCATAGTATTGTACTATAATATTCAATAACAAAGATAATAAAATCGCGTAAAATAAATACGGCTAATTAGTAAGCCATAATAAAAATGAACACAATCTAAAAGTATTATATAAGTCATGCTAAAATAAGTACATCTAATATGTACTATTAATTACATACTAAGCACTAAAGAAAAAAATAAACTAAGTTATGCATTTTCATTATAAACCAATGCAACTTTAAAAATAGATATCCAACACTATTTTCATTTCTAGTGTTGAACTGAATTTATTTTGTTAGCATTAGTATTGATTTGAACTTTATTTGAGTTGCTATATTTTTAGGCTATAAAATTTATTGGATCATTCAAGAATGTTGAGTTCAAACTTGAAATAATATATTAAAAGATAAAACCGTAAAAAAGCTTCAGAAATATTTATATACATTATAGTAGATATTTATATGTATAAAATATTTTTAAAATTATATAAATGTAATGTCGTGTTGGTTTGATTTCGATTTGACTTTTTAGTTAAAACCAAACTAAACTAATTCTGGTCGGATTTTTTTCTCAATATCAAACCAAATCAAATTAAACCACATCGGATTCATTTTTTTCTGATTTGACTCGAATTATTGATTTGATACGGTTTATCGGTTTTCTTTGTACAACCCTAATTAAGAATACTGTATCTGATGACCTCTGCGTGGCATAGTGCCTCTTTGTATTAGAAATTACTTCTATAATCATGGAGTAAGAAATATTTGTCCTTTCTCAAATTAATAAACGAGAAATAATAACATCTCTTGGTCTCAATCACAAGAGTTGAAAAATCTTAACGTGGTTCTAGAACAACGTATTCTCGTAAGAATAGCAGGGGCTATTTATTTTTCGGACTGATCATTTAAAAATAGCCAACGTTTGCAAAGTTGAAAAATAGCTATTATTTTACTGCAATACGAAAAATCTCAGCATTGGAGATCGGTGCACCTATGTATGAACTTCCAGCATATTATGCTGGAACTCCAACACGCGAAAAATTTCAGTATATTATGCTGGACCGGTATATTATACTGGAACTCCAGTATACTGGAGTTCCAGTATAATATATTGGAATTTCAATATACTTATGCTGGAACTCCAGTATTCTAGTATATTAAACTGGAATTCAGTATATTATACTGGAATTCAGTATATTATACTGGAGTATTTTTTCGAATTTTGAACAGTGTTTTCTTTCAGATTTATCTTTACATGAAAAGTGGTTAAATTTCGATTACTTTTGAAACTGTGGCTATTTTTGAATGACCACTTGTAAATCTGGCTATTTTTGAATTTCTCCCCATATTCTCTCTTTGATGGTCGTTTGGGAAGATCATATCTTTTCTTTTCTTCTTTTTTTCCTAAGAATACTCAACTTACTAACAATTGTCCATAAAAGATGCTAAAAATTGAGGCTTTCTTAGAAACATATTTGTTAAAGAAGTATTCAGCAGAATTGACTAGCATATGTTCGATCGTGTTTAATAATTATTTTGTTCTCGTTCTCAAAGAACACTTCTATCATTATTTCATGATATATAGTTTAGATGCTGCATCTTAATGTGATATCCCCTGCTTATTCTTCTTCAGTATTTCCCTTTTGTTCTTTTCTAGAACTTTGATAACTTGTTATTGAAGCATAATCAAACCGTATTATTCATAGAA